CTGTCTAATCAGCATCTTGATATGCCACACCTGTGAGGTGGATGGATTATCTCGGCAAAGGAGAAGTGCTCACTAACACAGATTTAGACAGATTTGTGAACAATATTTGAGAGAAATAGGCCTTTTGTGTACATAGAAAAAGTCTTAGATCTTTGAGTTCAGCTCATGAAAAATGGGGGCAAAAACAAAAGTGTTGCGTTTATAATTTTGTTCAGTGTATTAATTCCAGAACTTTTAGAATTGACTTTATATTTCACTTTGATCACTCAAATAATTATGATCCTTTAGCTGTCAAGCTTTTAAAAAAATGGGGTTTAATTTAATGCTGTTATGGTGTTGCACTGTTTATGAATGAATCGCGAGTAAATCATTTAAAGACTCATGATATTCCAGCAGACTCACTGTTGCCACCTACAGGTATAAAGATGAAGTGGTGATCAAATGTGAACGAGCGAACCTTTTTGGTGAACTGATTTGAATCACTCAGGTGAATCAAAATCCCACTAATAATATTTTCTGGGATGTGTTGTAGTTTGGTAATCAAGGTAATGAACACAGCCTTTGTCAAGTCAGAGTTAAAGAGGTATCAACTCTTTAATGGACTCTCAGATCAAACTTACAGCACCCTGGCAAACTACAACACACTGGCATTGTGGTCACGACTTTGACATGGTTTAGCACCATTCACCTTTAGAAAAAGTAGAATTGTTATTTAATTTGCACAAATCTCTATGTCTTGACTTTACCTTCAAAATGTATTTTGTTTGCCATATTTCATTAGCATTGGGATGCATATATTCTGCTACATTGTACGTACTGCGTACAGACTAGCTAGTAGGCCTACATACATACTGTATTGCTAGCAGTGAGTTTTAAGATTTTTTTCAAGGACATATGGTTGAGTTAATCATAATTTTAAATGATTCAAAAGTTTTCCACCGACAGTACCTGGAATCCCACAGAAGATTACATTTGAATAGGGAGAGGCAATACCTTTGCATGTGCTCTGCCTGTTACCATGGTATCACCAGTTATGTAAATACATGCAATCTACTATATATACTATGATAAAATACAAAGATGTATTTGTGCATTGAAACTGAAATCTTGATGTTTGCAAGGACAAAATTACAAACAGACGGAAGATTCAACCGATTCACATTTCCACCTAAGAGCTGAGAATCTTTTGCATCACGTGGAAGAAGGTGTGTATGTTGTTTTGTGTGTCAGAGAGAGATAGTATGAGGGCTGAAACAGGTAACAAATCCTTTGCTTCGACAGGTGGATGAATATTTGGGAACACATTGCAAAATTCTGTAAGTAGACAGATTTGTCTTTTGAGCGTTTTGCTGTACGTAGCTGGAGCGTAGTTAGTGAACTGTGTTGTGACCCAATGGGTCTAATTATGTATAATTCATCAGTGCATGAATCAGTGCAAATTTGTTTTAGTAGTTGTCTAAAAGTCACTGCAAACACACATTTTGGTAACACTTTACAATAAGGTCTCATTTGTTAACATTAGTTAATGCAGTAACTATCATGAACTAACAGTGAGCAATGTATATTTACAGCATTTATTAACCTAATAATGTTAGTTAAAAAACAATCACGCTCATGTTAGCTAACAGTGCATTAACTAATGTTAACAGATACAACTTTTGACCTTTATAACCTTAGTTAATTTTGAACTAAGATGTATAAATTCTTTAAATGTGTTGTTCATTGCTAGTTCATGTTAACTAGTGTTAAAGAGTGTTGAAAACTTTTATGAAAGACATTCTGTATGTAAAAGATATTTTATCTGTATGTAAAATATCAATATTGACCCTTAAGTAACAGTTTCTTCTCATATAGGCTAATATCAGGATAGGCCAACCAACATATCAACATGGATAAGTTCCGTATGATGGCCCAGATTCTCCAGTCCAACCAAGAGTCTTTTATGAATGGTATTTGTGGCGTCATGGCCCTGGCGAGCGCTCAGCTCTACACGTCTTTTGAATTCAACTGTCCCTGTATCCCTGAATACAACTACTCGTATGGGATCAGTATGCTAGTTATTCCACCTATATGGTTCTTCCTTTTGGGTTTTGTACTAAACAACAATGTCTCGATGCTGGCGGAGGAGTGGAAACGGCCAGTGGGACAGCGGAGGAAGGACCCTGCGGTCATGCGCTACATGTGTGTGTCCATATCCCAGCGGTCGCTCATCGCACCAGCCGTTTGGATCTCAGTGACTCTAATGGATGGTAAAAGCTTCCTGTGTGCCTACAGTATGGACCTGGATATGTCCGAATTTGGCAAGAATGTAAGTGGACACGGCCTGTCTCAAGAGGACCTCTTACGAACACTGGCCAAAATACCATGCAAGCATATATATGATGGCCAGCACATCCTATCGAGAGAGGCCGCCACCAGATACATATGCTGTATTTCACAGGTAAAAAGATCTGCTTACTGCAGTATTTGCCACTGCTTGATATGAATTCAAAATAGTAGCAGGACTCCATTAAACAAAATTGCATTTTACATGCTGTCTGAACTCAAAAAGTACTCATAAATCACAACAGTTTGGTTCTAGAAGTAAAAATAATTAATTTGTCTATGTGAAATGTGAAAAAGTGTATATTTACAAGTGTAAAAAAACGTGTAAATTTAAAGGGGTCATATGATGCGATTTCAATTTTTCCTTTCTCTTTGGAGTGTTACAATCTCTT